CTGTATGCGATTTATATCATACTTTACATGGTTAGCATATGGAATATACAACAATTTTCAACAGACTGTAGTCGCAAAACAGAATAATTAATGCAAGAATATATTTGAATAACTTACTACATCAGACAGAGCGTAGGATATAAAATGTAGTGTAAGAGTGCATGCGTCAACGAAAGAAAAATCAATTTTACTTGTCACTATATTCAAAACGACTACAAATAAATAGCCCGTTGTATAATATTTCTGACAAATGCGATTTGTTCGGATCAACAACATGGGATTGGTTCGTTTCCGCGGAAATAATCAAGTTTCTTTTTCACCGACGGTCTCATCCTATCAAAAAGTTAACAAAGTCGATTATTCGAACTAATTGGGGTAGCACCTAGTTCAGGTAAGCAAAAGTTTGTATATTGGAAATTGTTTTAATAAATATGTACATATAAAAAAAAAAAAAAAGAGATAGCTATAAGGAACTAAAGGAATTAAGTTACAATAGGGAAGCATGGAGAACTGCAGCAAACCAGTCAATCAACTGAATATACAAAGACATGAATATAATGTAAACGTTACATTTTGAATCAATATCTATTATTAATATATACATAAATCTTCATCGGGCCATTCTAATGAGTACACATACACAAGTAAACTCATGAAATCCAGAAACAGTCCGTATATTAATGTTTATTGTTATTTAGTTATTTAACAACTTGGCAGTAACCACTTTTTTTTTATTGTATTTAATGAAATTTAAAATATTAATATAAAAAAGTCATAGTTTAATGAATAATCTTGTTATTTTGTTTAATAAGTTAACTAATAAATTAAGGTAATGATGAAATCGGTAGACCGGTCGATAATTTTGACGTTCGGATATGTCAATTGCAGTTCGGATAATAGAGGGTTTGTACAACGGAGGTTAAGATAATTGGGGTTCTACTGCATGGATACATAAAGAAGAAAAGCAGAGGAAAATAGAAAAATGGATAAATTTATTAAAGAAATGGAACAAAAATAGGAACATTAAAGAACATATGGCAAAATACAATACACAGAAAATTGAAACTCTATTGACAAGTCTTGAAAAAATAGATAACGAAGTCCTTGACATTTCTTGAAATACTAGACCGAGAGTCAAAAATAAAAAGAATGTTACAACAAAATAAAGAGCAATTACTTTATTTAGAGAATGAAATAAAACATAATATTGAAACATTTAGAGACATAAAGATGTCATGAAAAATTGATCAAAAAAAAGTATTAATCATCTAAATAGTGTTATTAAAACCGCTTCAAACGAAGTCATAAAAAAAAGAAATAAAACCGATCAAACTACACAAACTAGACCTATTTATAGAAAATCCAAATCTTCTTCTCCTACTGAAAAAGGAGAAGAAAACAAGATCAATAAACAAATAGAAAAACCTAAAGATAGAAAAGTAAAAAAATAAATGTACGAAAATTAGTACGGGAAAAAATATAGAGGAACAAAAGAATAAAGAACTATTAGACAAAGCTAAATATGAAAAAAGAAATAATACAGGTTTCATAGTCAAAAACGAAAATAGTAGACCAGAAGTTGATTATAACGAGTCTTCTATGAATGATTATTAATATTACTTCAGAAGATTTGTTTTGACCACATAGTCACTGTCAGTGGCGTTTTCTGACTTTCGGCGTTAACTAATAGGAAATAAATTCGTATCAACTATCAACATATTATTAAAATTTCTTATTTTACATAATTTATAAACTTTTAAAAATATATAAAATTAAATATAATTTAAAACTGAAAATATACAAATCAATATAATCTATTATAGACTGATTTTTATTTGAATTCAAATTCTATTCTTCTTTCTTTCTTAATATATTTGTTTATAACATCTTCATAAAATTTGTTTCCGTTTGCTTTCTGTTTAAAAATCAATTCTTTATCGATCGATATTATACTTAAGTTATTCATCTTTTCTTGTGTTTGAATTAAACGACAGTATGTATGGATTCTTTTTAAAGATGAAAATGATCTCTCCATTGAAGCGGTGGTTGTTGGTATAGTAGATTAATAAGATTACAAGAGATATAATTGTGTCAACTCATACACCTTGGAAAATCCACTAATTAAGCTCATGTCAGAAACATAATTCATAATTTCAATAGGTCTTTTATCGGATGATTCGTTTAATGTGTACCATATATGAAGTTTATTTTGTAGTTTACCATAGTTGAAGAAATTACCATAAATGTCTAATACATTTTTAAGTAAATTAGATAAAAAATCATATTTTTTCTCAAAACAATTAATAATTGTAGGATTAAGTAAATTAAAATATTGCAATTTTTCAAACGGATATTAATACACTTATCAGCGGTAAAATCCCGTAGAGATACTTGGTTTAAAATTATTTTTTCGTCGATATTAAATGATTTTGAACATTTTAATGAAATTTAGTTTCATAATTTTTTTTGCTAGTGTTTCATTATTCTAACGACCTTATTTTGGCTAAGTATTTCAATTTTACCATGCATAGTTTATTGGATTTCGGACTGTTTTTTTAAATTCACGTCGAAGATGCGGCAATATGATATTTTTCCCGCGAAAACGTATCAATTTTTACGGTACTATAATAAAGTATTTTGACTACTATACCAAACTATATTGTTATATGTACTTGACCTTAAAAGCGCATCTTTCGTACATATACTCTTTGGTGTGTTGTAACTTTATACACTGGTCAAGTTAGAGAAAATCGATGTTGGTCCTATAGGTAGATACACTAAATTTGGACTGAATGAGGTTGGGGTGAGCGTAAGAATCGAATGAAAAAGGTACACTTGTTTTCAGTCCAAAACTTTTATGCAGAGAGTGAAGTATTATAATAAATCACTTTAATAGCCTAAAATCTTGAGTCGAGGTACCGCAATAAGGGTATGTTTGCGTGTGTGGAAAATTAATCTACAAGCTGTTACTATGTACGTACATATATACATATGAAATATCATACATAATATAATATAGGTAAAAACGTAAAAACAAGAGATTACTCTCCAACCATGTTTTGTGATTTAGAAAAAGTATTATAAGTATAACAGGATTAAAAAATCATTTATTTTAATTAAATTGTTTAATAAAACCGAATTGAGTCGGGATTCGAATATCATCGAACCGTCTAGATGTATTATTTACAGTTTACAGAGTGCTATAATGTCACATTTAGGTATAAAATTATAAAACAAATTTGTTACTGTTATAATACTAATGTATCATCATATTATTACTAATCCTATTTTCATCAATGTATGTCACATAATTTAGTTTCTTTTCTGGCATAAAACCAACGTATTAATCTGTATGTACTAAGTACTTAATGTATACTTATGTTTAGTAATGTTTAATAATAATTGTAAAATGTTGTTCTTCAATTTGATATGTTCATTGTTGTAATAGAAAAGACTCCATGGACCCACCCGAGTTTCTCTGAAGCCATTATATTTTAACAGATATAAGGTACAATATAATATTACATATAATATAACAATAATGTAGTGCGCGGTATATATGTAGAAGCTCATCTGATGTGATTCCAACTATGACACGATCGATTAACCCATTTCTTTCACTGACTATGCTCAGTTGTTAAAATACATTAATTTATAAAACCTATAAGATACTCATATGATTGTAACGTGGCCTCTGTAAAAATGTTGTTTCGCTCAATACAAACAAATATATAATTATTATACCGATCAAATTATAACCATGACTAATTCGGTCACACAACTGTGATTAATTATATTCACCGGTCAATTGTACAGTACTTAATACGTGTCTAATACATGGAAATTAATCGTGTACCCGATTATTTCTATTCAATGAAAACGGACATACGCCGTATAATTTTACAGACGCTTTTAACGGACGTTTTTCAAACGGTTGTACATATTGATCGAATGCATTGTAATCGAATAGGTGAGGCACGCTTACAGCGTAGTCATGTGTGATTTAACGTACAAAATTTGGCCTATTCAAAACTAATATTGAAACAAAATAAAATATGAAAATCGAACAGTTATCAATCAGTTCGGTTACGAGGCTATTCACGGGACAGAACAATAAATGTAACTGCACATTTGTACGGTTGATTGTTTAATGCGGCGTGAATTTTTGAAAAGAAAAAAAACAAAACCAAATACTAGTAGACAGATCGTTAACGACCATTTGGAAACAATAATAAGCCGCGTGATTGTTTCCGTTAAACGTTGCTGTTGAATATTATTATTCGATAACCTATCTCCTGGACAGCTTCAACTTTTGATTGATAGGATATGTAAACCAGAACGGATCGTTTATATGTTTACGGAAATCGGCGATTGTTCTCGCGTGTTTCCGATTTTCAGAAATGTTCCGCAGGCCCATGTCTAGCGGCGTGTTTGGGATAATTTTTCAGGGTGGGACGAAATACAAAAATCTCTTACTGTTGCGATATAAGGAAATTTGAGCGCAATAGTTTATTAATTTTATTTATTCGGTTAGGGTTTTAGAGACAATGGTTCGAACTTGTTCGGTTATAATCTAACAAATATTGTCATAAAATAAGTATAATACAAGGTCTACATTCATTTTTTTTCGCGGCAGCAAACTTATCAATCACCTCATCTATTTGAATATTTCTGTGTCTATGAATATTTAGCAAAGCCAATCCAATTAATAACTACAGCGAAAGAGTAAAAAAAGAAGTCTCGGGAGAGGAGGTAAACGCCCTTATTGCCCCTCTCTTAAATACGTCACTGCCCGTGTCCCACGTGAAAAAATAATTCGCACGCGCGCACTTTTATGTAATATTATGATATATAACCACGGCCGATCGGCGGATTTAAGTTTCGGGACGATAAACGGTTCTCATGAAATATTCTCGTTCGGTGGAACCGTTGGCACGACTGACCCGCAACTTTAAGCGTCGGAGACCACAACAGGTAGTCTGCCGCCGCCGCTGTAACAATAACGTATCGGCCGCCGCACCGTGCGCACGTGACGTTGCCTCGGTGGAAAGTTTTCCGGGCAAGTGCGCGACGGGTTTTCAGTCGTAGTGCGCGAGCGTGCAACTTCACACCTGCCGATTCGCCGCTCAAGTGTCGCCGCCGTCCGTCTTCGATCGGCTCCGGTTCGGTACGGGGATCAAGCTAAAAGGAATAGAATAAAAATAAATAATAACAAAAAAAAAAAAAAAACACTAACATCGAATCGTAACAAGAAACGAAAAAAAAAACAGTAAGTGCAATAATAACCAGTGTTAGATGGTGAAGAGTAGTTCAGCGAAGTGCGCACGTGATTATTGTTACGAGACACCGAACGAACGGAAAATTAAAAATAAAAGTTCACGTCGGAGTTCACGAATTGTCTTATATTTACGATCGGCTTCGCGTTCCGGACGTGCGAAATTTCCAGCGATCAAATATTACCTAACGGTTTTCACGAAGGGCTGGTAAAAAAACAACGATAAAACGAGAAATTAATGGTAATTATTTAGTATTACGAATAGAATAACCGTTTAATTGATGACCGAATTTTATTTGTTACGTGTATGCGAATTGATCATCGAAAACTTTTCGTTTTTAGAACAGACTGTTGATCAAAGTGTACACGCTTACTTGCACGTTTGTATAATGTTTGATAAAACATCGTTTTACCTTGTTTGTTAAATATTATGATAATGGTTAACAACTCTGTGATCATGTGAATTAAATTAATTTTAATCGCAACATACTGAAAAAAATTATTTAATTTATCTGAAATAATATTCTGACTTTTGAAGACAAAATAGGGTGGTTTTCAAATAATACATATGTTGTATGTCTACAAATTATCTTATAAACATAACCAGACTGATTTGGTTAATAGCCTATTAAGATTATATATGCCAAGTATCCAATTTAAAAAAAAAAAAAAATTACCAAACTAAATAGTTAGTATTTGGCAAAAAAATTAAACCGGTTATTTTTTATAGAAACTGTGATTTAAGTATTTGTTTCAATATCGTGTTAATACTTTCTAAACAAAAATTACATTAATAATACATGATTTTAACAATTGCATGCAAATGTCTACATTACATGTATTATTTTTAAATTAATTAATTGAAAAATGACTTCGTCAAATGTAGAGCATAAAAACGTTTAATAATAAATTAGGGTTTGAAAAACCGATTAAAAAAAGTAAATGTAATATGTAATCATCACAAAAATATTAAAGAAAAAATAAGTGTACCAAAACCAAATAATCTTAATCTATTAATAAGTAAATAAAACAAAATTATTAATTCTGAAATGTCATTAGAATAAAAACCACAGTTCTTTATTTTTAGGTAACATTTTAAAAGTTTACATCAAATTCGGATGGTTCTAAAATTTTTCCAAAACTAATTTTTTGTAAAACTCCAAACATAAACAGAATACATTTTTTTTAAACATAATTATATAAAATTTAAATATCAAATTACGTTTGAACATTTCATATAGCATTAAACGAAATTTATTTATAGTATATGCCTAATTTAAATTAAATTATCGATAAAATCTAATACAACTCAATTTGAATGGAAAAAACAAACTTTCAAATGTATATTATATAAATTAAGTTTGAAAATTAATTGGTTAATGAGCTTAATTTATAATTTTTAGTTTCTCGTTGTATTGTTCAAATTTAAGAAATAAACTAGGTATAAAAATGTTTTATTTCAATTGTTTATTTTAAATTGCATTAGTTATACAAGTTCTTACAATTGTTAATATAACTTTATAAATGTATGAAAACTAAAGAGGTTTAACTATGAATATCATAAGATTTATGTATTCAACTTATCAAATAATATTATTAATCTAGATATTTTACATTTCTGTAACGAAACTCATCATTCATTCAAATTCAACACAAATATTTTCTACATCCGAATGATATCCATTATGTTAAACACAACGCGTTTATAACTTCCATGCATATATGCAAAACGTTTAGGTGTTAGGTATAAGAATACAAACTCTAATATGTAAAATAAATATGGTTATATACCGTGTATTTGTTATGATAACAAAGGCTAGGAGTTGTCCCATGTTTGCTTTGAGCGGTTTATGTGTCTTGCCAGTTATTTTTAGTTTCACCATGGAAAATATACTATTAAAAATGTGTTCCATTATATAATCTGCTCACCCTAACAGAAATATGAAAACATTTGGTTTTAATATTATACGTGTTTACGTGTAGAAGCATGTTTATTTGAAAATTACAAATTACAGATTCATCGGCATACATTTTTATTCGTTATGTACCTACACATTTTTATTTATTTTTATTTTTTAATCGATAATTGATAATTTAACTCAATACTAAGACTTTTGCACACTGTTATTTTTTATATCGAATAATTATTTTAATATGAAAATAAAAATAACAAATAAAAAGAATTTTATAACCTGTATGATTTTTACAGAGGTATGATCAATAGTAAAATCTGATATATTGTAAAAATGGCATTTATAAAAAAAAGTAAAACGTAAATTAAGATAGTTAAAATATAATTCAAAATTCTATTGCAATTATAACAATAGTGTTCTGTATGGTTCTTATTCCTGTAAGGTTTGATGGAGATCAAGAGAAAAATATGGGTATTATGTTACGGGAACACCGTAATTTGAGATGAAATGAAACGTTGGTTGAATGTCCTGCTAGATTTCACATTTTCGTTTTTATACCAATCGATTACTCGCAATGAATGTGTTTACGAAAATAATTTTTATTTATGACCTGACGCAATTAGCAAAATGTCGAATAGTTGGTCGGTCCAGTGATTGGGGTAAGGAATTCAAAATCGGGTTCTCATCACAATTAATTTCTATAATGAACCACGCTCTACGATGAAAAGTGACTAATAGTGTCCACACGGTGAACTGGCATTTGTCAGTAACTGTAGCAGACATAGCTGTATACGAAACGATGTGATAGTAATTTTATTCAACTACATTTTAAGTGTGAAGCAAAATCGTCAATCGTCAGATGTTCATAATTTTCTGAAAGTATCAATATTTTATTATTTTTTCGTCTACAATGAAAATGTACGACCTAATTAGATTTTTTAAGACTAGCGTGACATTATTGGATACGTGAAACATAGTTCGATTCAAAAGAAGCCAACCAACAATTACCCGTGTCACATGACCGTGTTTGGTTTTCGGATTATTACACATATAGTATATTCGCATGACTACGCCCCCATTTAAAATCGGCTAGTATAATGCGCACGAATAGAGTACATCGGCATAAATCGCAAATATTTTATCGTATTGTTCCGCGAAAATTCGTGCAAGGGTGCATAAAATTTGCGAGTGAAAATTTGTGGTTTTCGCCAGTATCGAATTCAAGGTGTCGCCGTCACGAACGAAATAGAATCAAAATTGATTTTGCCGAAACTGTGTTATCTGCGGTATGTCCTATCCATTATCATAATATTTATAGTTTAATATGATTGTGAACGAGGATAATTGTTATTGATTTAGATACAGTGCAGGGTTGTAATTTTTTTCACGTTCACTTTGTATCGTGATTAACGAAAAATAGTGACTCCTTGTTCATGAGTTATAGTTTTATCTTTATTGCAGTTGTTCATTGTCCTATGACTTTTTTGACTTTTTTTTTTTTGTTAATAGTAAAATGATTTATCGTTGAAGTAAATTTTATAATGTATCAATAACACTAATGACGCTAGTTCTGGTATTTCAAATGTCTACAAGGTGAAGTAATTTAACGTGTTCGTTAAGAAACATAAGACGTGTGATAACTTTTGTACATGACATTGCGTATAACTTGATCGAAACATAGAGATCGATTACACACGGTTTAGATACATTATTTGAATTTAATTTTACTTAACCTCCATTTTATATATTTGAACTGTCAATTGATTGGTAAACAGTATTTATATGTAATGAAATTATATCGTAAATTATTTTCTGAAAAATGTTTAAAAAAAAGAATCATTTGAATAAAACAACATATTTATAACATGATAAAAAAATCTCTATAAGTATTTTTATTATAATATCAATGGCACATTCTTTAAATATTATACTTGAAATGATTATTTTTTTGTATAAAAAACAGTACCTACTGGTTAATAATTTTTAAACTTTAACAGCTTTAGGAAATAGTTTAAAATAGTTCGTTTTATTTACTAATAAAATTTCAAATAACTTTCAATTTAATTTGCATAATTATCCACTGTACATTTTTTCATACTTTATTACTCAACAATTTTACGTTGGCGATTTACGCAGAATCGAATTTATATATTTTATAAACGATAATTTCATTATCTGGAAAAAATATGTAATTAAACTATAGTGACTATGGTGAAATGTTTAAGGTTTTTAAATTTTTTTGGACTAATTAATGGTTGTTCGATAGACAATTATAATACAAGGACAAAAATTAATTAAAAAAAATATGAAAATAAAACAGAACTTTTCAATATAACTTGCATTTATGAGTGTTAAATTGTAATAGTATAAATAATTGAATTGTTGTTTACAGAAATGTCAAGAGTCACATGTTTTATGAAATTTAGATATTGGTAAAAATGTATACTAATAAAGTGTTTATATACATTTAGTTTAAAACACCGGTTATTATTATTTATTTATCTGATAAAAAAGTATAGCTAAAGACGTTTTTACACTTAACACAGAAATATATGACTAGTATACGTTTTTTCTAATATCTCAATTTCATAAAATATGTGACTCGTGTTCTTTCTGGAATCATCAATTAAATTATAATAAAAAAATGTAAAAAAAAATTCCTTGACTTAAAAATTTTTTCAGAAATAATACTTGTATTATAAATAATAACGGGTGAAGCCTACCCGGCTTGTAACCATATTTTAAACATATTAATTATATTTTTAAAATATTTTATTATATTTTTTACTATGGAAACATTATAACAATTGATGGAAAAATACTACAGCATAATATTCTGCACATTTGTTTTAGTTTTTTAAAACTAAAACATAATAATATGTTAAATTTAGTTATCGAATTCGCCAAATTTAGTTTCGATCATATAAAAAACGGTTTGAACAAAAAAAACCTATCGGACATATCTTTTACTATTATAATCACTATAAAGTTCAAGCATTATTGAAATGAGCTTTAATTCGTTGTAATTTTTAATTATTCTATGCACATTTTTTATAGACAATTTTACATAATATACAATTTTATAGAAGTATATAATGTGTTATTCAATACACATATAGAAAATGTATTTAGTATTTTTTTTTTATTAATATTAAGGCATCAACATGGTTATCAACCGGTGGTCACACAATAAACATAATATTCTTTTTTCTAATATACATATAGATAAATGTTATCGTTTTCTTATGTTATATGTATTTAAATTTTGTTTTTTAATTCTGTTTCCTTGAGGAAATTGATTAGTTTTCGGATAGCTTCTGTGATGAGT